GGGGAGGATGCCCTCCTGAGGCACGAGGCACGGGGGTGAGGGGGAGGGGCCACCTGGACTCACCTGTGGCTGGGGGTGGAGCCTCCGTCAGAAAGCGCTGGCACTGGTGGCGATATTCGCGCCATTTCTGCACTGTCTCCGAGAGGGACACGGTGGCACCCTGGGGGGAAGGCAGAAATGGGGACCCTCTGGTTCAAGCCAACCTCTCTTCTAACCCCCACCCCCAACACACCTGGTTTCTGGATGTCCAGGGGATCTAGAGCCCTGAACTCCACCAGGTGCTGGCGGTCTAAGAAGGGGAGGGAACCAGTGACGCTTCAGGGGGATGTTTTTATGTCTCTGTCCCTCCCAGGGACTGGTGCCCAGTCTGATGTGTGGCAGTGCCCAGCAAGAGTCTCCTGACTGGATACTTTGGGGGAGGAGTGGGGGGAAGGGAGGGGAGGATGGGTGTCAATCATGGTCTCCTCTGACCTCACCGAGGAGAAAGTCCCTGGGAACCCCATGCTTTGTGACAGCCAAGGGCTCCGCTCCCAGTGTCCAGTCACCCTGACAACAGGATTCTCAAACTTTCCACCATTCTAGAAAGGAAATACAGGCCCAGAGTGGGAGAGGGACGCAGTCAGGGTCACACAACACCCTAAGGGGCAGAGCTGAGGCCAGCTGGAGTCCTGGGGGACAGGGGTGTGGTGGGGCTCACTGCGGGTAACTCGATCCCTCCTGCACAAAGCAATCCTGTGGGGGAGGCACCACCACTCCCCAGTGTCCCCCTTTAACATAACAACACAGGGCAAATATGCAGCTCAGCTTCAGTCGCTGGAGAGGGCGAGTCCTGAGGACCTGGTGTGAAGGGGTCAGGAAAGTTCCAGAACATGGAGCTCGGGCCTGTGATGGGAGGGGTCCCCCATCTGTGACCAGGGAAACATGAGTTTCAATTTTCAGATAAGGTAACGGAACTGTCCTTTTAGCATGGAGACCCCAATGGACCCACCCAAGTGAGAATGGTCCCTTCCAAACATTTTATGTGCTTCCTTTAGGTTTGTCTTGGAACTGTTTCTTTCCTTTCCTTTTCTTTCCTCTTTTCTTTTTTTTTCCTGAACAGGATCAAGATTATAAATATTCCTCATGTAGAGGCTGCAGATGCTGAAATGACCAGGGAGCCCCACATGTAAAATTTAGGATCTATACATAATTTAAAACAAAATTTCACTTTTTGAAATCACAAACATAGACACGTGTGCGGAAATCAAAATAGTTTGCTCTGGAAGCTCACAGCCTTACTGGTCTGGTTTCTGAGCATCCCGCCCACGGGGAGCTGAGTCCTGGCTTATAAGACACGTCCTGGCCCGTAAAAGACACAGGGTACCATGTGCTGGTCCCCCAGGGAGGGGACCAGGCCTGCTTGAGCCCCAGCCACATTCCTGAAGTAAGCGTGCTGAGGCCACATGGGCCACCTGGAGGACGGAGCTCCTCTGAGGGCAAAGTTCCAGTGTATTTGTTAAATAAATAAAGAACATGATTCCTTAATCACCCTCAACAGCAGCAAAGGCAGCGGCAGGATTTTAGCTACAAGTGAGGCCTGGTGGACCCACCCCACCCTCCAAATCCCTTTCCTGCGGCTCCAGCCCCCTGCCTGCAGCAGCTGCTGGGGCAGGTGGGGCGGGTGGGGCAGGTGGGGCAGGTGGGACAGGTGGCCCTGGCGGCAGGAGGGCAGAGGCTGGGAGAATTCCCCTGACCTCTACTTCTGGGAGGAGAGCAGGCAGGAAGCAAGGTCACTGCTGGGAACTGGGGCAGAAGGACTGGGGACAAGGCAGCTGTGGAGACCAGAAGTCTCAGGGTGGGGGTGGGAGGTTAAAGGCCAAGGTCAGGCCATGAAGGCCTGGCCACCACCTCAGGGAGCTTCACACGCAGGCAGACTGTCACCTGCTCTATCTCAGACGGGGGCTCCCTGAGGACAGGGCCGTGTCCCCCTCAGACTGGGGCTCCCTGAGGACAGGCTGTGTCCCCCTCAGACTAGGGCTCCCTGAGGACAGGGCCGTGTCCCCCTCAACTGGGGCTCCCTGAGGACAGACTGTGTCCCCCTCAGACTGGGGCTCCCTGAGGACAGGGCCGTGTCCCCTCAGAATGGGGCTCCCTGAGGAAAGGGCTGTGTCCCCCTCAGACTGGGGCTCCCTGAGGACAGACCATGTCCCCCTCAGACTGGGGCTCCCTGAGGACAGGGCTGTGTCCCCCTCAGACTGGGGCTCCCTGAGGACAGGGCCGTGTCCATAGTCCAGTCCATTTGGGAGAGCTTTTGGGTAGGGCTGTGCCTCATCTATTATGTGAAATATTCCTGAAGACAGGCTCTGCCTTTGCTTCACAGGGAAACTGAGGCTCTCTGGGGGACAAAGGTGGTAATTACTCTGAATCTCATTTGCTTCTTTTACCTTGAGCACAACCGCGCTGGCCTTGCAGGACTGCTGGGCATGGCTATGACTTGAAAGATCGTCTGTAAGTCCTGCAGCACAAAC